CCACTCCGAGATGACCCGACGGAACTCGGGGGAAGAAGCCTGCCCCACCAGCCCCAAACCCCCCGAAGGAGGAGGAGCCACCCAACGCTACCACAGGCCTGAGGAAACAACCCGAAACGCCCACGAATCATGCGACCAGGTGTGAGCAAACAAAGGGAGCCACCTACCCATTGCCATTTCGTGAACAGGGTAATGAACCCAAACAGGATGGCCACCCCGACTGGAGGAACCCCGAACCCTGGCACATCCCTTCCGAGAAGGCCGGGAATAGCCACCCCATATAGGCAACAAGTCCGAAATAGGACGACAGCTGGACAAAGCCGCCTGCAGAAACTGTATGACAGCAGTCTTTGCGAACAGTAACAACCAAAACGGTGAAGAAAACCTATGAGCCAGGGCCTAGGCGGATTCCAAAGAAAGAGTGAACATAGCCTGTCGCCACGCAAGGCGAGAAGCAAAGGACAGACACACCATCTCCGTGAAAATCGACGCAAACAGCTTCAACAGTGCGGCCTACGCCTAGTCGCAAAGGCCAGTGCACCAGACGAAGGCCCGGCACTTAATGCCTCAAGCCAGGCCGAGGATAGTTCGAGAAGGAAAAGAAGCGGAAGACCGAATCCAAATGCCCATGGGTGCGCAAATCCTCTGCAACCAAAGGCAACCAAAGATGCTTTGGTTGGCATCTTAGCCAACCAAAGATGCTTTGGTTGGCATCTTAGCCAACCAAAGATGGCAAAAGGGTAGGAACCTGCATGTGCAGCTGCACAAGGCCAACATCACGAGAAAAGGAGGCGATGTGATCACTACGTACAAAATAGTAACAGGAATCGATAAAATTGATAGGGAAGAATTCCTGAGACCTGGAACTTCAAGAACACAAGGTCATAGATTTAAACTAACGAAACAAAGCTGCCGGAGAAATAAAAGAAAATTCATTTTTGAAAACAGAGTAGTAGACGGTTGGAACAAGTTAGGTGAGAGGGTGGTGGAGGCCAAAACTATCAGCAATTTCAAAGCATTATATGACAAAGAGTGCTGGGAAGACAGGACACCACGAGCGTAGCTCTCATCCTGTAATTACACTTAGGTAATTACACACACACACACACACACACACACACACACACACACACACACACACACACACACACACACACACACACACACACACACACACACACACAAGGTAATTACACTTAGGTAATTACACGCGCGACAGAGTTCCACATAAGAGGTTGTTCTGGAAACTGGAAAATATTGGAGGGGTGACAGGTAAACTTCTAACATGGATGAAAATTTTTCTGACTGATAGAAAAATGAAGGCAGTAATCGGAGGCAATGTATCGGACTGGAAAAACATCACAAGTGGAGTACCACAGGGTTCAGTTCTTGTACCAGTGATGTTCATTGTCTACATAAATGATCTACCTGATGGAATACAGAATTATATGAACATGTTTGCTGATGATGCTAAGATAATAGGAAGGATAAGAAACTTAAATGATTGTCATGCCCTTCAAGAAGACCTAGACAAAATAAGTATATGGAGCACCACTTGGCAAATGGAATTTAATGTGAATAAATGCCATGTTATGGAATGTGGAATAGGAGAACATAGACCCCACACAACCTATAAATTATGTGAGAAATCTTTAATGAATTCTGATAAAGAATCTAGGGGAAGTTCTAGATAGTATACTATCACCCGAGGACCACAAAGAATGTTGTGCGAGGAGCCTATGCTATGCTTCCTAACTTCAGAATTGCTTTTAAATACATGGATGGGGAAATACTAAAGAAATTGTTCACGACTTTTGTTAGGCCAAAGCTAGAATAGGCAGTGGTTTTGTGGTGCCCATATCTTAAGAAGCACATCAACAATCTGGAAAAGGTGCAAAGACATGCTACTAAGTGACTCCCAGAACTGAAGGGCAAGAGCTATGAGGAGAGGTTAGAGACCTTGCCTAGAGACATTAAATATGACAAAACTGGTGATGGGATACAAATGTTTTTGGATGAGGTGACAGGAAATAAAACACAAAACACGAAACAATGGATATATACAATGGGCATATGACCATGGGTATATATTCTATCTTCTTGCTTCTGTGCAGGTTCGGGGTCTTGAAGTGGGTAGAATGTAATTATGTATTAATTGGCTGTTGATTGCTGGTGTTGACTTTTTTTATGAACTCTCCAGACACCAAGCAGAGCGCCTTGAAAGAAACCAAACCAATGTCGTCTATGCCTTCACATACTCACTTGGGGACTGTCAGCCACAAAGATCTCAGTATATAGGCAAGACAACAACGTCTCTTTCTAGGCAAATAACAATGCACAAAGAACAGGGCACCATCAAGGAGCATATAATCTCCTCACACAATCAGACCATCACCAGAGAAATCTTGACAACCAACACAGAAATCATCGATAGATACAGCGACAGTAGGAGGCTCGACATCAGCGAGGCGCTACACATCAAAAAGTCCACTCCGGCAATCAACAGCCAATTAACACATTATTATATTCTACCCATTTCAAGACCCCGAACCAACACAGAAGCAAGAAGAGAAAATACTCAATGTACCCATTGATTCGTGTTCTGACTATGTAAAATTACCTTTACCCATTGATTTGTGTTCTGCCACCTCACCCAAAAACATTTTGTCATATCACCTCACCCAAAAACGAATATAAGCACGATTTGAGTAAGTAAAAATATTGTCTTTGAAAATGTAAGAAGTGTTCTTGCAAAACGCTTCTGGGCATCAGGCCATTAATAAAATGTGAAAATGAATTTTGGAGAGTTAATTTTTCAATTGCCCTCGACAGTGAAGAAAAACGTAAGAAATATTGAGATTTTCGTGTTAGAATCATGAACCTTACCCTTTCGGTCATATTCAACAACATATGTATGTATGTATGTATGTATGTATGTATGAAAAACCTGTTTTACAAGCAAGAAAACTTTTCTAGATCTCCCAAAATATAATTTCCTATTAATGTTCCTCCATTGTGCATACATTTTACAAGCTGTAGAAAATTGTTATTTACATTATTAATTATTTAGCATTTGAACACAAGGAGTGCCCTGTGTGTAAAAATTAGACTTCCAACAATTATTAAATATCTCAATGAATCATAAAATTAATGCAGTACAGTACTTGTTTGTAAAATACTAATTATTTACTTCTATGACATTAGACTAAAAAAATGTGCTACCAGCAATGCATTTTTAGACAATTTATTATGCTAAAAATTGTTTTCAAAACTAATATACCGGTTTATGAACCACAGGTGCTCACAAGCCAATGTGCACAGTTACACTGGCATCACCAAGCCTTGCCAGAGCTTATCTTATCACTGTTATCTCAAGCACGAGGAGTTTATCAGGTATACTCTATCGCTTGTGGCATGAATGAGTCAGTGACAGTTGTAGTATAAATTTCCTATAGCACACTGCTGTCTTCACAGAAATACTGCTACTTAAACAACAGGATGGCATCTATTTATGTTTGGCACAAAACATTAAATCTAAGTGGATGAGCACAGGACAAAATATACGTTAATCTTGACACATTTTCTGTATCTGAGATCTTCTGCAAATATTTTGTCCTGTCATTCTCTTCTCCATGTAATTATCTGCCCCGAGGGAACTTGTTGACTATTCGTCATATCTGTAGAATATTAATACCACACTAATTCATCATCATAATAAATTCCAAATTAAGTGTAGAAGAACAAATGAAAACTAGTACAGCATCAAAATACTAGTAAACTAAAAATCCTTAGTCTGTGCTAAAGGCCTCTCTCAATGCAAACAATATTATTAATATTCTTACCACAATAACACCCCATTTTCCCTTTACTGTGAAGTACAATTTTTTTTAAAACATCAGTAGCAGTGGTAGTAAGCATCCATCAGTCTCAGGATACAGAGGGATTTAATTAGTGTAGATGTATGTGGTGCATGAGGTGAGTGTGGCAAGCGTGTATGAGGTGGGTGTGGCAAGCATGTATGAGGTGGGTGTGGCGAGTGTGGCAAGCGTGTATGAGGTGAGTGTGGCGAGCGTGTATGAGGTGGGTGTGGCAAGCATGTATGAGGTGGGTGTGGCAAGCGTGTATGAGGTGGGTGTGGCAAGCATGTATGAGGTGGGTGTGGCAAGCATGTATGAGGTGGGTGTGGCAAGCGTGTATGAGGTGGGTGTGGCAAGCGTGTATGAGGTGGGTGTGGCAAGCGTGTATGAGGTGGGTGTGGCAAGCGTGTATGAGGTGGGTGTGGCAAGCGTGTATGAGGTGGGTGTGGCAAGCGTGTATGAGGTGGGTGTGGCAAACGTGTATGAGGTGGGTGTGGCAAGCATGTATGAGGTGGGTGTGGCGAGCGTGTATGAGGTGGGTGTGGCGAGCGTGTATGAGGTGGGTGTGGTGAGCATGTAGGAGTGTGAACGAGGAGGATGTGGGTTGGGTGAGGTGAGCGGGTGGATGAGGCAAGCATGTAGGTGTGTGTGCGAGTAGGATGTGGGTTGGATGAGGTGAGCAGATGGATGAGATGAGCAGGTGGGTGTGGCAAGCATGTAGGTGTGTGTGCGAGTAGGATGTAGGTTGAGGTGAGCAGATGGGTGTAACCATACAGGATCTCAACTTGCAGTTTTTCACCACTTGGAGGTTTATGACGTACTCTCCTCCACTGAGTTTTCTATCCCATCCTATACAGTACTGACATGTGATCACACTCGCTTCATAATATTTCTCTTACAGCTTTATTCGTATCGCATACGAAGTTTGCCCCATTGTTTCTTAACGCAGTTAACTGTTTTCTATAAACTATAAAGTATTTTCATCTTTAATGGATATGTATTAATACAGTATTTTTCTAAAAATTGTATTACAGTCATGTATATCTATAAATATCTACACCTGTAAATTGATTTTGGCCCAATTCTTATTTAAAGGTTTTGTGTCTTTAAAATTAAACAAAGAGAAATATGAGGAAAACTAACCCAAGTTGAGTTGTTGAGTCAACCTTAGCTCCGTGTTGCAGCAGGAAGCGCACCATATTCATCTGACCAAAATGACATGCAACGTGAAGTGGTGTGTAGCCAGCCTTTGTTGCTGGGTCAATCTTAAAAGAAATATGAAGTGGTTGTAAAAAACATGGTTATCATAATCAAATGCAAAATGTAACCTTATTATAATTTGTTCATTAAAATAGAAATATTTGTCAAAGATACTATGGCATTAATATAATCAAGTAATATTCATAGGACAAGAATGCCAGGCTATGTGTTTGCACTTATATAAAACACACATGTACAACATGAACCCTTACACTGCTCCCATTGCTCTTAAGTGACTGGCCCCATATACACTCTACTCCCATCAGCTGGAGACAGTTTTAGGTAAAGCATCATACTGTAAAGTCCTGCCATTTCTATGACCATGTCTTTGGCTCTCTCTGGCCTCTAGAAGATATCTGCCATTTTGACAAAATAGAGGGGACACATGTGCCTGCCCAGGGCCTCATTCGTAAACTACTGACCATGGCTGATGTACACACATCCAGCTCCAAAACATTATGTTAATACAGGTAGCAAGCATCCCTCTCACAGACCAAACAAAATTTTGATAACAAAAATGTTCCATAGTGAATACTAGGAACATTCATAGAGCAATGACCTTGAAATTCAGCTCTCAAGTGTAAAGAGCATCTGACCTGTATCATTGACAAGTGTAATAGTCAAAACAAAAAAACTTTTGAAAGACTCCCACATAAGAGGTTGTTCTGGAAAATGGAATATACTGAGGGGATGATACACACACTTCTGACATAAATGATTTTTTTTAAATGACAGAAAAATGAGGGTGGTAATCAGAGACAATGTGTCAAATTGGAGAAATTTTACAAGCGGTGTACCACAGAGTTCAGTTCTAGCACTAGTAATGCTCACTGTCTATATGAATGATCTACCAGAAGGAATACAGAGCTTTAAGAAATGTTTGCTGATGATGCCAAGCTACTAAGAAAGGCAAGAAAATTAAGACGATTGTCATGGCCTTCAAGACAACCAGGGGCCAGATTCACGAAACAACTTACGCAAACACTTACGAACCTGTACATCTTTTCTCAATCTTTGGCGGCTTTGTTTACAATTATTAAACAGTTAATGAGCTCCGAAGCACCAGGAAGCTGTTTATAACAATAACAACAGTTGAATGGGAAGTTTTCATGCTTGTAAATGGTTTAATAAATGTAACCAAAGTCGTCAAAGATTGAGGAAAGATGTACACGTTCGTAAGAGGTTGCGTAAGTGCTTTCGTGAATCTGGCCCCAGGACTAAAGTGTAGAGAAGAACACTTAGCAGATGGATTTAATGTGAATAAATGCCATGTTACATAATGAACAAATGAAGAAAATAGACTACACACAAAATACAAATTATGTGAAAAGGCTTTAAAGAACTTTGATAAAGAAAGAGATCTAGGGGGTGGTCCTAGATAGAAACTATCACTTGAGGATCACATAAAGAACATTGTGTGAAAAGCATATTATACGCCTTCCAACTTCAGAATCAATTTTAAATACATGGATGGTGAAATATTAAAGAAATGGTTCTCATCCTTTGTGAGACCAAAATTGGAATATGTAATGGTTGTATGGTGCCCATATCTCAAGAAGCCCATCTACAAACTGGGAAGGTGCCGACATCCAACTAAATGGCTTCCAGAACTGAAAAAAAAGGGCTATGAGGAGTGGCTAAAGGTGTTAAATATACCAAGGTTAGAAGACAGAAGAAAAATAGGTGATATGATTGCTACATATAAAATAGTAAAAGGAATCGACAAAATTGACAAAGAAGTAGTCTTAAAATGTGCTGCTTAAAGAAGTGGTCATAGACTTAAACTAAGGAAACAAAGCTGCTGAAAACATTTCAAAGCTCATTTTTGCAGAGTGGTCGACAGTTGAGACAAGTGTGTGGTGGATGTCAAACAGTCTGTAATTTCAAAACGTCATATGACAGAGTTCTGAGAAGACGAGACACCACAAGTGTAGCTCTCATCCTGTAACTATACATAGGTAATACTTAACTATATCTTCCAAATACCATGTACTAGTACCCAGCATCCCTGGGTACATGATTTGTTGGCACTGAGCAAATGACGATACCACTTCCCTTGTTTTCATCTTTTTTTCTCTAATCAAAATACACAGTTTCTTTGGCTTCATGTGTACTTTCTGGGAGGTTTCACTCAGTATTGACTGTTCCCAAATGCCCATGCAACCATTGCCTTTATGAGTAAATTAGATTCAGGTCCTGGTATGTCGAAGGCATGTACAAACCCAGAGACCTGGAAGTTTTGTGGATGTCTATATTTCCTCCATTATAATGATGCCCTCATTTAATTCATCCATTTCTTTAACTATTTTGTATATGATTATTTTATCACTTCTGGTCCATATAATTTCTATTGTTATCAAATTGAGCTTCTTTAACCTGTCTTCATAGCTCAATTATTTCTAATACCAGTTTTCTGCAAACTTCAGGACCTCAAACTACTACTTACCCTTGACAAAGTAGTCAAATGTAAACTATGAATAGTTTTCAAATGTCCACACTTTTCCTACTTTTACTCAATCTGCTGATATTATTTTATTACTGTGTGCCACAGGCACTTAATTAATTAGCTTTCATTCCTGTAAGTACTTCCTTATTATGCTGTACTGCCCTTCTAATATCCTTTTTCATTCCATTTAAATTAACATTTGCCAGAAATTGAACTTTAATAACCCTTTATCTGCCAATAACACAGTACGTTTTCTAGGCAAGAAACCAAGAGAGGAAATGTCAGAATGGAACAGTGTTCAGCAGGAAGCTGGTCCTTGGACCCCTGCTGTTCTTAGTTCTTTTCATGAATGTTACCAATTTGTTACTACCTATTTATAGTTACAGGTAAAGCATTAGGCTTGTAGAGTATCTTTAATGAGTATTTTATCATAAATAATTTTTAAACTTCCACTATTTTTAGCACACAACCCTCTCTCGGAAATTACTTCAACCAACCATAACTATATTGATAAAAAAGTGCATCATATTGTGGTTGCCACATCTCATTTGTTTTCTGTCTTGCAATCTCAGCACAACCACATCCTTAAATAATCATTTTGAGCTCACACATTTTTATTATGGAATCTATATAATTGGCACATTGAATGCCTTCAGTTTCCCCTAATTTCTGTTTCTTCTTTCAGTCAAAGAGTCATTTAATACCATGTCTCAATCTTTTTTTAGTTTATTTATTTGCTTTGTGGTATATGGGCACCATACACTACCTGCATATTCTAACTTAAAAGTCCTGTATACCATGAGAATTATTTTTAGCATTTTTCCATCCACGAGTTTAAATGTACTTCCGATACTGGCTAATGTGTGTGTGAATGTTAACGAGGTAGTGTGTGAGCTCACTCACACACGAACTTGTTAACATTCACACATTTTTCACCAGCATTTATGTACCTTGAGGTCTACATAGTAGAGTACATAGCTAGTAATTTTAAACCCTCACCTGAGCACCGTGCTTGACTAAAATGGCAGCAACATTGACACGATCCTCCTGCGCACATAAATGTAGCGGCGTCAAGCCATTTTTAGCACAAGCACCTGGTGCAGCATTGTGCTCGATCAGTAGTGTTGCCATGTCTGTGTGGCCCTCCTAAAACAAAAACAAATTTGTATTAAATCTTATTTTAAACAGATGACATTTATACTAAGCCAAGGAATTCACCTGTTAAAAAGTAATATGCAGGTCATTTATACTTAGAACTGAACATGCCAAGACAGCATTATGTAATACCAAGAGAGACAGTACTGCTACCATAAACACACTAAAAATTATGATAATTAAGGTTTCAGCAGTTGGGCATAAGGGTTACAAAGCCCACTTAAATCATTAGCATTTCAAAAGCACATGTTTGCTCCAGCATGTTCTAATGTAGGGGTCAGCAACCTGTTTCTTCCGACAGGCCAGCAGCAATGTCTGTGAAGTGATGGTGGGCCACATTTATATTATGAACCGTTTTATAACATATATGAAGCTAATAATAAACAAAACTATACACATAAAACTATGAATGACATTTATATTATTTAAGTAACTTTTATATTTATTAAATGATAACAGTTAGGACGACCTTTGATGGTTTTTAATGCTCTGAAATTCAACATTTGGCGAGAAGCTGGATAAGACCAAAAGGAGTATGTTATGGCCCATCACTTGCGCACACCTCGCCCGTCACTCGTGCGCACATCACCCACCACATGCACACCTCGCCTGTCACTCGCACGCGCTTCGCTCGTCACTTGCACGCACCTCACCCGTCACTCATGCACACCTTGCCCATCGAGGTTGAGGCTCGCCCATCACTTGCACGCACCTCGCACCTCACTCGTCACTCGTGCGCACCTCGCCCGTCACTTGCGTGTAACCTCGCCCCCCACACTGATACCATCAGTGTGTTAAATGTGAATACCACTGACACATTGATACCATCAATGTGTCAATGATAAATTAAGCCATCTATTTAAGGAAAAGGTACTCCAAAGCAAGCTATATTTTCTTGCTTCTATGCCATGTTAAATAGCTAGTTAATATTTCAAGAACTCTACCTGTGAGCTCAGATGAAGAGGTGTGAATCCTGCCTTGGATTCAGCATTGGCACTAGCACCATACTCGAGAAGGGTCGTAGCGATATCCATTTGGTTCTTACGAGCAGCAATGTGAAGGGGGGTGTACCCATTCTTTGCTGTAGCATGAGGAGAAGCACCTTTATCCAACAGCAGCAGTGCAACATTCTGAAAATATTTATAGTAATAATTAATCAAACCTATAATCATAGCTTTAAGTCTAACATGGCCCATAAATTATACTATAAGGTGGATATCCCTCCAATTCTATTTATTTTTATAATCTAGACAGTCTGAATGAAGTGCATTAGCACACTTATCAATGAAAATAATAACCCACTACAGTATTTTGAAAATATGAGGAAACATAGGTTGTAAATCTCGATTCAGCAGTCTTCACTGCTGAAGAGGATCCCGGGTTGGTATCTAAATATACAATCTACATTTCCTCATGTTTTCAAGAGAGTGGTTATTATTTTTTAATCTAGAGGCTAATAACTATAAGTTATAATTTTTTTTATTTATTACGTCTGTGCAAAATAACTTCAGCGTACAAGTCTGCTCACAGAAATAACACCACACGAGACCAAAAAGCATGGAAGAATGTGAAAAATAGCCCTGTTGGAGAGCAGAAGACAATACTGTAGGTATGCTGAGAAAGAACTGTCAACATCAAGGGCCCAAAATTTTTCAACACACTCCCTGCACACATACGGAACAAAACTAGCCGACCTCTTGTACTGGTAAGTAGAGGACTTGATAAACACATTCAGAGGATACCTGATCAACTAGGCTGTGACTCTTTCGTAGGGCAGCAAGCAGCCGCATTAAACAGCCTGAATGATCAGACCACCAACCAAGAGATCTGGTCAGAAGACATTGCTCCTTGGAATCATTGAGATGCTTATGAATCATCAACAGGTATACAGTGATCCTAACCATGTATGAAATGTAGCAACAATAACAACAACAATTATATTTCTGAGCTAAGGTTTCCTGAATGCTATTTTTTGGCTATTGCTTGGGTCCACCCAGGACACCAGAAATTAGCACACATTCTTTTGGTAAGTTTCTCCAATAATTTTACGTGGTTAGGCCACAGAGAGTGGAGTCTCAATCCACGACCAAACACAAGAACAGAAATAAACAATCCACAAGACACTCCCTGTAAACGATTATTGAGATAGCAAGGTAAAGCAATTATTGCTCTACTCATTATGGGATATTATGGGTTACACCTACACAAGCCACCTACACTACCACACCTACACTAGAGTGGTGTGGTGTAAGGCGTATAGACTGGTTTAATGAATGCATGCTAATCTAATGAATATAGGTTAATGTAATAGTAAAGGCTAATGTAACCAGCAGGCTTAGACAAATTTATACAGTAATGAGAACACACAAAATAGAGAATGAAGATTCTTGAGTGAAATGCATGCTTCTCATATTATCTATCCCCTATTTCTTCAGCTTAAGGCAAGAATAACCATTAAGTGTTCTTATATCTTGAATAATACACCTACTACACAATTTACAATAAAATAAACCATATATTAATACAAATGTTTTGGATTAAAATTTAAAAACAAAACTGCCTTGAGTGTCTCACTCACTTGGTGGTCATAATGTGCTGCTACGTGAAGTGGGGTGACTCCATTCTTCCCTTGGGCATCAACTGGGGCATCCTTCTGAAGCAGCAGTCGAGCAACCTTCATATTACCATACTTGGCTGCCAGGTGCAGAGGCGTAAATCCTTTCTTTGTTGTTGAAGTAAGGGAAGCTCCGTGTTCTAAAAGGACACTGGCCACTTCCTCTTGACCCTCCTTGGCAGCAATATGTAAAGCTGTATAATGGTCCTTTGTCGTAGCATCAACAGCAGCTCCATGTTGCAGTAACAAAACTACAATATCACTGTTGCCCAGGCGAGAAGCAATATGCAAAGCAGTTTGCTGTTCCTGATCAACAAAAAGATAGCAGTTAGCACATAATAACTTTTGAAAAGTGAGCGAGTGTGAATGCTTGTGTGTAATTTCCTAAGTTTAGTTACGGGATGAGAGCTACGCTCGTGGCATCCTGTCTTCCCAGTACAGTACTCTTTGTCATATAACACACTGAAACTAATGACAGTTTTGGCCTCCACTACCTTCTAATTTAACTTGTTCCTACTGTCTATCACTCTGTTTGCAAAATAAAACTAATATTTTTTAACCACCTTTCTTTACTTAGCATGAATCTGTGTCTTCTTGTTCGTGTAGTTACTGGTTTCAGGAATTCCTTTTTTGTCAATTTGGTATATTCCTGTTAGTATTTTGCAAGTGGTAATCATATCACCTCTTTTTATTCCATCTTCTCAGTTTGGCATATACAGTATAATGTCTCTAGCCTCTCCTCATAACTCTTGTTTTTCAGTTCTATAAGCCATTTTGTAGCATGTCTTTGCATCTTTTCCCGTTTATTTTTGCTTCTTGAGATATGGGACTATACAACTGCTGCATATTCTACTTTTGGTATCACAAAGGTCATGAACAATTTCTTTAGTATTTGACCATCCATGTAATTAAAAGCAAGTCTGCAGTTGGAAAGTGATGCATACCCTCCTCTCACAATGTTCTTTGTGTGTTCCTATGGTAAGTTTACTATCAAACCCACACCTAGATCTTTATTAGGGTTCTTTAATTCCTTTCCACATACTGTAATTTCTAAGTTGTGTGTGGTCTATTTTCTCAGATTCCACATTCCACAACATGGCAATTATTCACATTGAATTCCATTTCCCACATGTTGCTCCAAACACTTATTTTATTTAAATAAATTTCAAGGGCATGACAATCGTTTGCATCTCCTATCTTCATCAGAATCTTAGCATCATTCACAAGCATTTTCATATACTGTAATTCTGTATTCCTTCTGGTTTATGAACATTGCTGGTGCAAGAACTGAACCCTGTGGACTGTGTAAAAAGCCTTTTTTTAGGTACAGATACACACATTAAACTCAACCACCTCTTTCCAGTAGAATATCTGAGGCTCTATCATAAAAACTAAGTAGATTTGTTTCACAGGATCTTCCTGTTCAAATACCATACTGTCTGTCCATTATTATGTTATTAATCTCTAGGTGTTCAACCCATTTGGCTTTAACTATTTGCTCTAGTGTTTTGATTACCACTCTTGTTAATGACATGGTTCCATTATCTAGAGGTTCCTCTCAACTACCATATTTATAAATTGGTACCATGTATCATGCCTTTTTCCATGTATCTGCTAAGATTCCTGTGCACAAGGATGTCTTGAATATTAATTGGAGTGGAATGCTCAGCTCAGTTGCACATTCTCGCAGCACCCAAGGTGAAACTGCACCAGGTCCAACCGCTTTATTTCTTCCTAGCCCCATGAGTAATTTTTCCACTTTGTCTTAAGATACATTTATATATTCTATGGCCTGCTCTGGATTTGGCATTGGGTCCAGCTCTCTGAAATCCTCCTTTAGTACAAACACACTTTGGAACTGTTCATTTAGTGTTTCACACATTTCATTTCCATTCTCAGTAAACCTGTTCTCAATCTCAGGATTTCCCATTCTCAATCTGTGGATTTTATCCATTACATGCAGCTTCTTGAGGTTATCTTGAGATGATTTCGGGGGGTTAGTGTCCCCGCGGCCCGGTCCTCGACAAGGCCTCCACCACCAGGAAGCAGGCCGTGACAGCTGACTAACTCCCAGGTGCCTATTTACTGCTAGGTAACCGGGGCATCAAGGTGAAACAAACTCTGCCCATTGTTTCTCGCCGGCACCCGAGATCGAACCCGGGACCACAGGATCGCGTGTCCAGTGTTCTGTCCGCTCAGCCACCGGCTCCATATATATATATATGTATATAATATATATATATATATATATATATATATATATATATATATAGGCCTATAAAAGCAAGCTTTATATATATATATATATATATATATATATATATATATATATATATATATATATATATATATATATATATATATATTGTGACGATAATCTCCTTCAAGAGATTGAGCCTGCTCTTCCCTCCAAAATTACGTCTTCACAATTATATAAAAGACTATGGAAGAAATGTCCAACAACGACAGCAAGGCTTGCCAGGGTGAGCAGAAACGTATGCAACCAGCCACCTGTTCGAACTCCAACCACCAAACTACCCGTTGATCGCTACGGCTCCGCTGATTGGTCGCCGGTCTGGCTGCACCTGCACTCGCCCCCCATACTACCCGATGTCTGGGGTCGCCCCAACATCAGTCTTCAGAATGTTCCGTGCTTTCGTAGCCAGCACTCCTCCCAGCTAGACGTTAGCGTGTACTGAGAGAGGTGGTGGCTTTAAGCCAATATTCCAGCACCTCCCACTTACCTTTTGTGTTGCACTTCTTATTATTTTGCCTTAACGTAACTTTTCATTTTGTCATTTAAGTATTCTTATTATTTTGATTCATTGATTTTATTATAAGAATTTGTTTGTGCATTATTTTCATGTTTTGATTTATTTAACGTAATTAAAATTTCATTGTTAAAGTTTACTTGTGTTTTGTGTGTCTTCTCCTTACCTTACCACAGACGAAGTTCCAGTTTTTTCTATTTTTTTTGTAACTATGTGACGAGGCCATACCCCTAGCCTTAAACAGCCGAACACCAACGCGTTACCGTCACAAGTTATATGGGGGCCCTGTCCTAGGAGCTTCACTCAGGTACTGGTGCCAAGTGGTAATTTATGGTAAGCGTATTTAACTTTGTTAACGTAGCTTTACTATTTTTCATTCAATTTCATTTTTTATAAGGTGCGGTGTATTGTGCATTACGAGAATAACATATAGTGAAGGTGAGACAACTTTGGATTACGTGGTGACTGTAGGCCTCAGTCATACTCTTAATTGGTCATCTCTCCCTCCATGTTATTACTCGTATTTACCATCTATGTCCCTTGAATATTTCTCATTCTGACAGATCATCATATTGGTACCCTGGTACTGTGGTCTGCCCCGGGTCAAGAGTACCCAATCTTCTGCAATCTGACTGTAGGAGGACAAAGAGGGCCATAGTTCCTCTAGCTCGAACTTTAGTTGCTGAATTGGGACCTCAGCAGCAGTTCTCGTCACCAGTTGACACCTCGCACCCCTACACGTCAGTCAGAGATGATGATACATACAACGGTAGGGAATTAGCTTATTTTTTCAGAGCACAAAAGTTCGCTAATTCTGTAAGTATCATATTAAATTCAGTGGGAAAAACTTGCTTTATGTCCTATAGAGACTTGGCAAGGTATGCCTACATCCTTGGACTACCAATTTTACTTTTGAAGCATTTAACTGTTTCATTTGTTTTCGAAACTCTGTTTCATTTGTTAGTAGGATTTTCTTGCCCTTATCCTCTTACATGAGTACCGGGTACAAGATTTCCTGCGCCCTTGATTTAATTTAATCATTTAATATCTTTCACTTAACGTTAATTGTTAAAGATCACACAGGATAGGTACCAGTTGCCACGTTGTCCTGTTTCTGACATTTCATTATTGAACATTCGTGTACCTTTATTTGCTAATTTCACCATGTTTCGTCTCCAAACTTTCCGTGCAAATCCAGCAGGTGAAATAGGGACTTTGAGTCGTGCCAAGAGGACTGAACTACAAACTCTTGCACATGAGTATCAACTAGAAGTTCCCTACCAAGCCAACAAAAATGACCTACACAACCTGTTGCTGGATTACTATTTAGAGCAAGGTAAGATAGACTCTGAAACTCATGAAACTTACTATATTGCAGATAAAACTGACTTGGCAACGATGAAACTTAAACTAGAGCTGGCCAAGATTGAACGTGAGCAGCAAAGAGAAGCAGCTGCCATACGAAGAGAAGAACAAGAACGCGAAGCTGCTTTGAGGAGGGAAGAACAAGAACGAGAAATCACCCTCAGAGAACGTGAAGCTGCCTTGAGGAGAGACGAACAAGAACGTGAGGTTGCACTACTCCAGGAGCGGGAACGAGTACAGCTTGAAACCAAACGACGCGAGTTGGAGATGCAACGCGAACATGACAAGCAACAAGCGACTCTGGCTCTAGAGTGTCGTCAACGCGAAATCTCCTTGGAAACTTCACACTTCACTCAACGCCAACAAGCTACTGCCAATCTTCCCGTCAGTTTTAATATATCACATGCAAGTAAGTTAATGCCATCCTTTGTAGAAGCAGAAGTTGATGTGTTCTTTACCACCTTTGAAACCCTTGCTAATCAACTCAGTTGGCCTGTCGACCAATGGGCCACACTTCTCAGAGTCCATCTTACAGGTAGAGCTGCAGTCACACTCAGTACTTTGGCGTCTGAGAATGACTACTACACTCTGAAACAAGCAGTGTTAGACGCCTACCTACTTTCCACCGAAAGTTATAGAAGGAAATTCCGTGACCACCTGAAGGCAAGTACCACTACCTTCCTCGAGTTTGCTAACACGAAACGGAGGTATTTCATGAAATGGCTGGAAGCAGCACATGTCTCTACTTTTACAGAACTCGTGAACCTGATGCTTGTTGAAGAATTCTTGAGACGTGTGCCGCCTCCTGTCCGCCTCTACTTAGCAGATAAAGAAGAAACCGACTACCTGAAGTGTGCTAAGTCGGCTGACACTTACAGCCTCATCCACCGGCTGACACCCGAACCATCCTCCAGTAAGAAGTCGTGGTACAGTTACGAGAAGGTGAGCCCCGATCAAGCTGGTTCACAACTGTACTGCAAATATTGTAGACTCTATGGACATACCATAGACAAGTGTGGTAAGTCTCAATACAAGGGAACCACTGACCAACAACGACCCAAACCAACTCCTCCTAAGTCCGGTAAGCCTGTGATGAATGTTGGTGTTGATGTTAATGATCTTTCTCTTTTCAGTAACCACCTGTATACTGGAACTGTCTCTGCCAACGGT